TTCCCTACCCCAGCTTTATTGCTGAGCATGACATTATGTGGTGTGGACTATCCTTTGGGCCAGGTAGGGTCATCTGTCCTGGCTGTGTCCGCTCCCAACCCCTTGCCCACCCCAGCTGACTCTGGTAGGGGACAGAGTAGGGAACAAAAAAGGCCTGGATGCTACGCAAGCTAAAACGTCGGTGTTACCAACACATTTTTAGCCACAAATCTAAAACACAGCATCATGCAGGCTGCTATAAAGAAAGTTAATTCCATCCCAACCAGACACAGTACAGGCAGTCAGATACTACATACCCCACTTCAGCACATTTTTTATAGTTTCTAGTGAAGCTTTGTGTTCCCTGCAGAATAGCGTGTCAGGGATGTGCTATACTGACACTGTTCCTGCAGTTCTATTGACTTCTCTTATTTCTCTTACAAACAATCCGCCATTTCTCAAGGAAATTCTGTTACGTATGAAGTTTGAGACTGTCACCCTGTCACCAGATTTACCTAAGTTCTGCCTGTAATTACTAAGCTTCCTATTATTTGTCCCCTGCAACATAGTAAAAAATGACAGAACATCTCACCCATCTTCCGGAGGAGACTAAGATGAGCTTTACTGGGACTTGAGCAACTGTGCACACTGAAAGGCCAAGTCTGTGCTGGTGAATTAAATGTGCTTAGCGCTGTTCTCCAAGGGTGACCAAATACCCTACATCTGCGCTCCTGAGCTCTCCAAAAGAAGGACTTCTCATTCAGTTGGCCTACTGGGAATGGTCTTGGCCCGTTCCACTGTGTCCACTAGCTCTGTTGTGCCCTGTAATTGTTTCAGGCTCACACAAGGCTTGCTGTTGTAACTCAGGTATTTCTCTTGTCTCTTGTGTGCGACACCTTGGACCAGTGGAGGGAGGGGTTATTGTTTGGCCAGAAGCAAAAAAAGAAGAACAAGAAAAAAGGATGATGCATTTGTCCATTATCAGAACATACTATGCTTTTAATTGGAATTATAGAGAGGACTTGAGCATGTATCAGCTAAAGTCAATAGCACAACTTCCATTGATTCAGTTAGTTTGAAATATTCCTGAAATGGAAGATAATTGCTTAAGACTTCGCTGTGAGGATTTATGGTTTGTTCCTGCAGTTTTGAAGGCTGTTTTGCTGTAGGGTTGTTTTGGAGGAGTTAAGGAGGCGCTGGGAAAATTTACAATCAGTAGTAGGAGGCGGAGGAGGGACTATTTTCTCATCCTGTAGACAAATAGCTATTGTCTACTGGGTTTTTTTCACGTTTTACTGTTTTGACATATTTACTTGTCTGGTTAATCTCACGTGTGCTTCTCTTTTCTATTTGCCTGCCTCCCTTCATCCTCCTG